GTAGCTCTGTGCTGGGAATAGCCTGCAGGGATGGCCCTAAACCACGGCAGATGCCCGAGCGTTAAACAGCTGCAATTTCACGCTTAACTTCATTGTGGATGCTACTTTCCTCGTGAAGACACCTACATTTGTGCTCTAGCTGCACACAGCCCCCGACAAACAGCTCGTAGGAATGAGGGGGTGCAGCGCAATGGCTGCTGGAGGATGGATTCTCCTTTCCCAGCAGCAGGAAATCAGGAAAGATTCCCAAAAGTGCTGCCTGGCCCTCTGGCTGACTGCTCCCAGCTCTTCACTGGCCGGCAGTGTAAGCAGGTGCAATCCCATTAGAGAAACTGATTTGCAAAACGGACTGGGCCTCCTGCTAGCTGGCACCACGCTGGGACCAGCCCCACCTCTTTTACTGTTGCAGGGTTTTTTTGAGTTTTTTTTTTTTTTTTTTTTTTTTACCAAACCGGGCTGAAAAAGGACAGTTGCTATTCAGACCGTTGAGAAAAACAAACAAACAAAAACGACATAGAGCCCACACTGCACAGTGAGACTCCAAGAAACTGCAAACCAGCTCAGATATGTCTCCTTTGGGAACAAAGCCATTTTTTTTCCACTGCACTGCACAGATGAAATTGTTAATAAATTTTTACACCTTTTATCCCAAATGATGTGAAAGAAAAACCCGTCTCCCACAGACTTTTAAAATACTTCAAACATACTGATGAACCAGGCCAATATCTAACAATTGTTAATATTTTATTCCCGACAGCTGTTCAGCCTGAAAAGTTTCAGTAATACACTAAAAACAAAAACAAAACCAACAAAAAATTCAAAACAAATAAAACAACAAAAAGGGAGGGAAACAAAGTAAAATAAACTTTAACAAAGTTTAAAACACATTATAAATAAGTACAGCTCCAGAGCATAATTTACAAATATAAAACCACATAGAAACGTATGTACAGAAGAGTTACATTACGTACAAATATGTATAAAAATACCCCAGTGTTTATTCTTGTGCTAAAGCTGCGTGGCTAGAGTTCTCTTTGGTACTAAGCTCGGGGAAAGAAGATTGTTTTACAAGACACAGCCCTGCTGTACAATATGCCAGGCACAGGAAGACCCTCTGAGTTTGAGGAGGTTTTGGGTGGGTGTTTATACAGGGTGCTCCCCCCGTGCATTGCATATTGCAGGATCAGGGCACAAGCAAGGGCTTACAGAGGCAATTGCTGGCAGAAGAGGTTTTTTAATACATTGTACAAGGCACTTCATAAGAAATCTCTTCATTTTTTTTCCTGTTCTCTTCTAAGACTCACTGGATGTCTACACTTGTCTCTTGCCAATACCACTTTATGGCTATGGTTTTTAAACTTCTTGTTCTACATTCAGGATTGGAAACCTCTGAAAACATTAATTCAGTTCACGCCTGCAGAATTTAGATGGCAAACCATCTACACCACCTAACGCTTTCATGGAAGGGGGGAAAAACATTGCATCTGCCTTCTGCTGGTGCTTAAGGGGTGTTCTTATTTCGAAAGGTGAGAAGATCAGTCTTCCTGGAAGAACTCCTGGGAAGTGTCCACGTTGAAATGCTGTTTGCAAAAGCGCACGGTCCAACTCCCTTTCCCTTTGCAGCGCTGGCTGGCTGCCCCAGCACCCTACACCTCTGTCCCATCCCGTGTGTAGATGAGGCTGTTGACTGTGAAGTTGTAGTAGTGGTTGTACTGGGCACCCTGGCTGCCGCTGCTGGGGTGGAAGGAGCTGTAGTAGGCAGGGGAAGGTCCCGCGACCCGCTGCAGCTGGTCTGGGGAAGGCACCTCCTGAGAAGAGCTGCTGGAAGGGGTGAAAGTGCCACTGCTCAGCTGTCCAGCAGAGAAGTTCCTGTGATGAAGGTCGCTGCTGAGACCCCCTGTCAGCCGGCTGCCTCCGCCGCTCAGGGAGCTCATGCCGCTGAAGAAGGTGCTGAGACAGCTGGGCGTGGATGAAATGATACTGGAGGGAGAGGAGCTTTTGGGATGGTCCCTGGCAGAGGGTGAGGGGTCCAGCTCTGGGGGGGGGCTGTTTCCACATGGTTTGCCTGTGGCTGGGATGGGTCGCTCTTCCTCAGCCTTCAGGCCCCCCAGAGAGGAGGTGGCAGAGGCGGTCGCGGGCGCGTTGGGCTCAGAGCGCCGCTTGCGCTTGCGACGGAAGTTCCCGTTGTCAAACATCTTCTCACAGTTGGGATCTAAGGTCCAGTAGTTTCCCTTCCCTGGTGGAAAACAGGAGACACAAGAGAGAAAGTCAACTTCTGCGACAGCGAGCCCCGCTACTGACAGATAAGCAGCATCCATGTCTTGTCCAACTGGCACAGAACCCACATCCCTCCTGCACCTGCTCCTACTCCCTCTGTTGTCCAGTACAAAGATCCAAAACCTGTCTCCAGGACATTTCCACCTCCATCCCTCCATCCCACCTTAAGGCCACATAGAAGAGGAGAATCTCCTCATCCTAAAGCACAAACAGATCTGCACCTGTACCTCCAGCCTGGCTAAGGAGAATGTGAAGAATGGCTCCCCTTGCTCTGGCTGCCTCACAGAAGCTGGGCCACTTACAGCCATCTCAGCTGTGGTGACAAGGCAGTGCCCGGACCATGGATCATAGCAAAGCAGATGGAGAGGCGGGCTGGCACACTCAGGCACTCCGAGGGGACGGCAGGCCAGCAGCGCTGAGCTGCGGGGGCTGCAGAGAAGCTGCCCCTTGCACAAGCTTTGGTGCGGGGTACTGTGGTGGCACCAGCTGTCCCCACTCGCCTCCTGCCCACGGCGCAGTGACCCCACAAGGTCCGGAGCGGCTCCAGCCCGGCACGTCCCGGCACCGCCGGGCCGATCAGCGCTGTCCGGGCCCGCCTCCGCCCACTCCCGGGCACCGGCTGCGCCCCGGGGCCGGCCCGGGCAGCGGCGGGCAGGGAGGGGAGCCGTGAATCACGGGCCGAAGGAGCCGGGCCTTGCACAACCGGCGCTCCCGGGCTGCTCGGGGAGGGGGCGAGGGCTGGGGCCGGCCGGCCCCCGCCTACACCTCTCGCAGGGCAGCGCCGGGCCGGGCTGGGGCGAAAGGGAAGGGTCACATCACAGCGCCCGGGTCAGGGGACGGGGCAGAGCGGTCTCATCACTGCGCTGCCCCCGAGGGGACGGGCAGCGCGGTCCCATCCCAGCATCCGACTAGAAGGGATGGAGAAACGCGGGCTCATCATAGTGCTGGCCCTGGGGGGACGGGGAGCGCGGTGTCGGGACAGCGCCCGACTAGAAGGGGACAGGGGACCCGCCGGCCACGGGGACGCCGCCGCCCCTCTCTGACGGCGGTGCCGGTGTCCGCACCCGCCACTCCCGGCTGCCCAGCCATCCCTCCCGCCCGGCGCGGCACCTCACCGGGGTCGTCCTCGTCGCGGGGCACCTTGCGGAAGCAGTCGTTGAGGCTGAGGTTGTGGCGGATGCTGTTCTGCCACCCGGCCTTGCTGCGCTTGTAGAAGGGGAAGTTCTCGGCCACGTACTGGTAGATGTGGCTGAGGGTGAGCTTCCTCTCGGGCGCGCTCTGGATGGCCATGGCGATCAGCGCCGAGTACGAGTAGGGCGGCCGCACCAGCTTCAGCAGCTCCTCCTGGCTGGCCAGGCTCAGCCAGCTCAGCTCCGCGCCGCCCGCCGACGGCGAGCCGGGCGCCGGGGGCGAGCCCACGAGCTGCCCGCCCCGCGAGCAGCCGTACGAGGCGGGCGGCAGGAAGGGCGCGGCGGCGGCGGCGGCGCCGGGCGGGCCCTGCAGGTAGGGCGCGGGGCTGTTCATGCCCCACAGGTACCCGGCGTTGGCGGGCGCCCCGTAATCCCCCAGCGCGTACCCGCCCGCCCGCTGCCCCGAGGAGGCGGCGGCGGCGGCAGCGGCGGCGGCGGCCGCGGCGGCGGCGGCGGCGGCGCCGGGCGGGTGAAGGCTGGGCTGGGGGTAGACGCTGAAGTTCTCGCTGCAGTACACGGCCATGTCGGGGGCTTCCTGCGCGCTGCGGGGCTGCGGGGGCGCGGGGGCGGCCGCCGGCGCCGAGGCTCTGGGCTGCGCCTGCTGCAACTCACCGGCGCTCATAATCCCTGGCCATGCAGGGCGGCCGGCGCTCCCCCCCGCTCCCGTGCTCTCCCGGCGACACCCCCCGCCCCGCGGCCCCGGTGGCCCTAGACCAAAAACTCCCGGGGGGCTGCGGCGCGGCGCCCTTATAGGCGCTGCCGTGCGCCCGCACTCCCCGCCCGCGGCCGGGGCCGGGGCTGGGCGGGCGGCGGCGGCGCGCAGCGAGCAGCCAGTAGCGCGGCTCGGCGGCGGGCGGGGAGGCGGAGAGGGGCAAGGCCGGGCCCCGAGAGCGGCGATGGGGGAGGGACCGGCGGGGGAGCTGCGGGAGGCGCCAGGGATTTGGCTCCCGGCAGCGCGGGGGCAGCATCCCCGAGCCGGACCCACCCCCCGTGCTGTGCCCGTCCCCCGCTTTGCCGACCTGGGGGTCTCTCCCGGTCGCCCCCCGGAGCTGTCCGCGCTGTCCCGGCGCTCTGGGATGCCATCCTGCTTTCCCACGGCTGCCATCGCCCCCGATCCTGCCGCTGAGGTCGGAGGGGGATGAGCATCGCTGCTCTTCCCTCGACGGGAGCGCCAAGGGAGGAATTCGCTTAAACTCTCTTCTTGAAGTTTAGTTTTGCCGCCCGTCTCCCAACAGCCGCGGCTGAGATCGCCGTTCGTTAATTTTGGATAAGGAATTGCCCGAAATTAAACAAACAAACCCCACCGGCGTCTTCGCTCGTACCGCGGGCGGAACGGGCTGCAGGGCGAGATTTGGTGAATAAAAGTTATTTTCGCCTTAGTGCTCCGGGGCAGCCTGAACGAAAAGTGCATCCTTTTGCAGAGAAAAAGCTCTCGGTGTTCATAACGATCCCGACACCCGGGATCTAACAGGGGCCAGCTCCGGCAAATCTGGTCCGGGGCAAAGCACACGTGTAACAACAAAAATACGGTCAATGGTGCGGGACGATTTAGAGACTTTGTCTAAATACCAGGTACATGAGATGTACATTTCATCCCCCGTTCTTAAATGAAGCTGTTACTCAGTTTTCTGCTGGTAAAAATGCCAAAAAAATGCCCTTTCCTGGTGTACACACAAAGCGCTCTCTGCAAGCGCCGGGTGTCTTGGTCTGACAGCAGGATTTGGGGCAGAGAGGACGGTTTGGGAAAAGTCTTTACGTTTTATGTCTTCCATAAAATAGTTATAAAAGCACGTGTAAACCAGTGAAGCTTTACCGAGCTGACTTCAATCCCAAATTTTCATCCCCTGCGTGATTTGAGCAGGCGTATAATGCCTAAGTTGAAGGATTTTCAACTTTGTTTTTCGTTTTGAAACAAGTGAACAAACCTTTTTTGAGACAGAAAATAACTGAAAAGTGTCTGGTTAAAGAATTAGGATTTGGGGTTTTCTCCTTTAATCATAAAAAGAGATTTTGGGGGTTTTGTTGGGTTGTTTTTTCTTTTTTTTGGGTTTTTGTGTGTGTGTGTGTGTTTTCTTTTTCTATTGTTATTTTGTTGCTGTCACTGTTGCTTTTGCTGATTTTATTTTGCACCCCTTGGGAAAAAAGCTTCCCGTGTGTATTTGGATACCCAGAACAGCAGGAGAAAATTTTACATTATGTTTCACAAGGTGCTTTTTCCCTTCTCAGATTCCTTCTCTTTAAGATTTATAACAGCTCCTTATCTTTTTTAGAGCAGGGTCGCGCCGGAAAATGCCGGTTTGAAGACTGACGGGACAGCAGGCATCCAAACCAAACAGTTTACAGAGAAATCACAGCTAGAAAGGAAATTTAAAGGACAAGAAACAGGTAGACTTTTAAAAAGCAATTTCCCTCTGAGTCTGAAGAGCTAAGCCGAAAATATTATTCTCTAAAATTGCAACAAATCTGTGTTTATCCGTTTGGCCAAAACCCCCGCGATCGTTGCAGCAGGGAGAGGAGCAGTCAGTGTTATCTCCGTATCGCTCGAAATTGAGGCTTTTCCTCCAGGGATTTGATGTTTTTGGGCAAAGGCAGAGCCATCTAGAGGAGCAGCCCGGCTATGGCGAGGCGGGGAAAGCAGTTTCCCTCACAGGCATGGGGTGCTGCCTTCGAGCTTCCCTTAGCTGATTTGTCTGCCTCCAACAAAGGAAACGGGTTAGAAAATAATGCTGAATTAGCTCCAATAAAAACGCGTGTCCTCAGAAAACTCCAGCTTGCTTTACCAAATAGTAAGGAATGTGAAACAAAAATAGCTTTAGAGAGGTTATTACATAGCTGGGATGGCATGGATATACAAACCAACACTTAATTTAAAGAGTGGAGAGAATAAAGCTTTGATGCTGTGACGGCTGTAAAAACATTTAATTTTCTTATTTATCCTGCAAGTAGCATGCAGGGTTGCCTCGAAACATCATCAGCTCTCAGTACAGACCTGTTGCTGCTCTCTTCTGCCAAGGCATGAGGAGAGCATGAGGAGGTCCAGCACTCTGCCTCTCTGCTCTCTAAATGCTGCTCTTTTTTCTGGAGAGCTCTGGGAGACATTTGCCTTGCAGAAACACACCAGGGAGCTGGCGAGAGATGACGAAACACCAAACTGAAATCAGTTTCAAGGTAGGAGTCTGGGGTCAGTGTCCATCACTGGGAGCAGATTTGGGGCTGGCTTTCAGCAGCTTTGTTGGCTCTGTGAGTGGGCAGTGAGCTGTGCTGGGTAGAGGAGCCTGTGGCACCTCAAGCTGGGCTGAGCTGCATCCCCAGCCAGCTGGGGTTAAGTGCAAACCTCTCCAGCCAGCTGCCTTGGAGAGTGTTTCGAGGCTTCCCAAGTGCTGCAGGAGAGCAAGATCCTCCCCATCCTTGCCTGGTGCCATCCCCACCGTTGGCTCAGGTGCTGTGCCTGTCCTTGTCACGCACGCAGCACACACTTTTCCCCCTGCAGGGAGACACTGGCTGTGCCTCTGGGGCCCTGCTCCTCTGAACGTGTAGGTACAGGCTCCACTTTCCTGGTGTGGATCTCAGGTGTGTGTACAGCTGAACACAGAAACCTGAAAATGCTTCAGAGCTGAGCGCCCAGCCCAGCAGTGGGAACAGATAGCTGCACCCCCCTGGACCTCTCTGCGTTTCCCAAGGATGCTGAGCTCTGGGAACGGGGTGTGTGTTGGGGGAACAGAACACAATAGCCCATATTGGCTTCTCTTGGCTTTACTAGGAGGATAGAGAAACCAGGATCCCTTCAATGGCTCCAGATCTCTGCAGGTTTGTTTTGTTTTGGCTGCATTTGCAATCTGAGTCTCGCTTTTTCCCCAGGGCTGGCGAGGAGCAAGGTGGTAACTCCGTGGTCTACATAAAATCTGCTCAGTAAAAATTCTTTTCTATCTTTCTCCAGAGTGATCAGTGAAATTGGGAATGAGTTCTTCATCCTCAGAGGCAAGATGGAAAAATTATGTTTTCTCTTGAAGTACTCCAGTGTCTCCACCCACAAGAACAATAAAGAATTAACTAAGAGCAGCTCAAATTAAATTTAAGATCTAGTATCCCTTCCTTAGAGCCAAGCATTTTTCTCCCTATTCCTCCCTATTAATATGCTGTAAGAACATCTCTTTTTTTCACTCAACTCCTGATTTGTCCTGCAAATGGCTAACAGAGAATATCTGATGGTGTGCAATAGATGTTTCACTGCTGTGAATTTGGGAGAGGTGTTCTGTGTACGTGTACACAGGTTAAAGTAATTTTTATCCCTTACCTAAAGAGAATTATGTATATTCCTCCCTCTCTGTATCTAGTCATCTACTGGACTGAAGTTCTGTCAATCTAATTTTGCCAGCTCTCCTTATGATAAGATCAGGGTTTCAAACATTTTCTTGATTTTTTCAGACTCTACCATGTTTCCTGAGGAGGTGTCCTCAGCCTACCACGTTCAGGCTACCAACAACAGGCTTGGTTTAGTTGTGAGTTCATGGTCTCTGTTAAACTCTGCAGGCTGCAAACTGAGGGTTTATGTTTTGGATTATTTATATTAATATTTTCTCAGTGCAATTCTATGTTGCTGAGTGTCATGGAGTCACAAAACAAGGAATAAATAATAGATCATCACAAGCTGTAGCTGCTGCAGCACTTTGGGCTGCTGGGAGCAAATCCTGGTTGAAAGGAGCAGTGTCTGCTCTGCAGTGTCCACTTCTCACTGGTTTTTACGGCTGCTGTGCTCTCACAAATGTTTCTGTGGCTGACTGGGGCACTAATCCGGTTTGAGAAGAACACTCTCTTCCCAATCCTTTTCTTTCCCTCTTTTTCTTATCCCCTCAGGTTAGCTTTAGCCTGGGCCTGCCTAGCCCCTTCCTGAGAGCTTGTTAGAGACTGATTAGCTGGAGTTTTGATAAAAGCTGCATTGTTTGTAACCCCTGTAAAGTACCCCGAGCTGCGCTCCCAATAAAAGTGGGATTAAATAGACACCTCCGGAGTGAGACAGTTGCAAGCGGGAATTTCAGAGTTTTGAAGGGTTGAGGGACGTGGCCAGGCTTCAGTAACTCTGTGTATCAGAAGTGATTTTACCAAAACTGGGAAAGAAGCCTGACTTTTGTGTTTTGGGGGGGAAAGGAACCTGGTGGGGGACAGAAGGAAGTCACCTGTTTGTGGCTGGATTAAGCACACGCTCCAGGGGTTTGGAAACACATTTGCAGAAGTTCTCAGCACCCTGCATTCCTCCAGCCTCTCCTCAGGCTTAAGTTCATACAAACTATTTTAAAATCCTTGCTCTGATCACATGAATTGAATCCTTCCTTGTTTTATTTTTACAACAGTAAAAAAGTCCACTTGGCAATGATGTGGCCTGACTTGGTACTACTGGGTTGTGTCTTTTCTGGGAGGAATGTTAAGCAAAGGGCTTCATCCCTTCTGCCTAGAGCAAGAAACTGACCTGGGCTGAAATAAAGAATCTCTGTGCTTTTTGAATGTTTTTTTTTGTGTGTAATGGGATATTTGAAATGGAGCTTGGTGCTCTGGGCTGGTTATTCTATAGTGATCACTCCTACAGGGTAAGGTAAAGGCCAAAATCTTTTGGTCCTTATTCATCTGAATGAGGTATGTCCACTCTGGAAAGAGTAATAGAAACAGAAAAACATAAATTTATAGTCAGCTAAGGTAAAAATAATCAAAACTATTAGTAGATAAAGACAGTTGTTGCCATCACCACCACCACCACAAGGAAATGGAGGAGTATTAAATTAGTATTTCTTTTCCATGTTTGTCTGGGGCAGAAAAAATCAGATAGTGTGTTAGTTTCAGGTGCTGGTGAAAAAGCATTTTGGGCTCTGTTAATAACTAGGGATTATTTAATAGCAACCACATAAATGAAATATTTTATGATAAGCCAGTCCTGGTAATTCACAGCCAAGAGTTTCAGAAATCTCTGAACCAGGAACGTATTGTGTGGGCTGTTAGTGCTGGTGTTTTTTTTTTTGGGACACTGGCAGGGTTTTAGAGCACTAAGAAAGATGATATTGGCTGATTATTTAAAAGCTTTGGGCAAATGATTTGGTGATGCTCAGATTTTCAGCCCTTCACTCTTAAAGGCAGGAAATGTATGGGTGCATCTTTTAATTAATGATTAATTTCCTTCTTAAAGGAAGGCAGTGAAACTGATGCCAGTGAGTGTGTGTAGGTAGAAAATAGACCTTGTCAAATTAATTTGCTGTTATTCTCCAGCAAGAGGGAGCAACTCTTGATGTAACTGATTTCTGAAAGTGTTTGATTAGTTCTGTCTTGGAGGTGGGTTTTACAAACTGGTATAAAATCACCATAGTGCAAATTAAGTGGATCCAGCTGGTTAAACCAAGATCTCAGAATTTCACTGTGAAAAATGAATCCCCAAGTGTCTGCTCAGGGAAATTTGGTGGAAATTTGTTCATTATTCTGTTTCTGTCATCAGTTTAGGGGGAAAATAAAGGATCGTTGTCTACCAATTGTGAAGGAGTCTAAAATTGAGGGTATGGAGTGTTAAATAAGGAAGAGAACAGCTCACTGAC